GCACATGTACATACACCCTTGAACTGAATCATCAGATTGCAAATTTGAATCAAATCTACTCTTTGCATCAAAGTACAAATTCAAACTGAATCCTAATTTATTAGCAGATGTATGAAGCTGCATAATCAAGAATGTTTCATGTTTTGAGCCAGTGAAAAAGGCTGTACACATTAACTATATGGAACAATACAAGGAATTATAATAGATTATAAAGAGGTTGGACAAATGGTAGCAAACTAAATTGCAATTTTTGTCTAACAGAAACTGATTTTCCCAGTGGTTTGAGCAATATAAGTATATTCCATTACAGTATTCTAAGAGTCATATTAGGCATACAAATGAGGGCCCGTTCTATTTGATGAAAACATTTCTAAGTATGACTTAAATTGTGGCTAGTGTGTTCTAGTTAGCTACTAACAGTTCCCAGCAAGTAGACACCAAAAATAAAACTGCCATTTGGGCCAGAGAGAGTGAAAATGAAACTATGCTCCCTCATCTAGCTGCTGCCTGCCATTGTTTGCCTTAGTGTTACCTGTGGAAAACAGATTGCTCACAGGATCAGCTTTTGATTAAGTACATCAGATGCCTGGGGCTTGAAATTACCCTCTTGTTTCCTCTCTGCACCACAAAAATTTTTGTGGGTACTAGGAAAGTGTGGGAGAAATACTGTTGGCTATTTCAAGAACACACTCTTTGGGAAAAGTGAAGAAGAGAAAATATTCTGGGACTGAACAGACCAAAGCTAAATATGGTAGGAAAGAACCAGTAGATTATTGCAGGAAAGAATGGGAGATTAATGATTGGCTGCCCTTTCATTCACATTACAAACTATATAAGGAAATTAAAATGGTGTAAAGGTTAAGGTACCAAGGTACAAAGCAGGAGACCATGAATTCAAGTCCTACCGTATCCATGGAAGCCAGCTGGGTGCTTTGGGTAGTCATTCTCTCTTAACCCAAGCCTTCTTTCAGGATTGTTGTTATGGAGAAAATAGGAGGAGGAAGTGTGCTGGATACGTTGGGTTATTTGTAAAAATAATAAAGGCAGGATACGAATGAATGAATGAATGATCTCTAATATGTTTTTAGATTATCCTAGGCTTCTTGTCCAGGAGGATTATTATTATGTGCATGCTGAGATTGTCCAATCAAGAACAATCTAGAATTTCATTTCTTCGTTGACAGCCATGAAGTAGTCTCTATTAGTACCTGGCCCAGCATATTCTGTTTGGATGAGACTGATAATCTGAAAATGCAGGATAACTATGTGAAACCAATGTCATAGATAGTTTTAGATGGGTTCAAGTCATTGTCAAAAATACCACATGAAGAGTAGTTTATATAGGGATGTGCCCAAGTTACATAAGATCTTATTTATTTATTTCAATTAGTTAGCACAACTTGGAAATAAGCAATGTTTCCTCAGATGAAAGATGTTTCTCCCTGCCTGTAGGAGGCACTTCTAAGATGACCTGAATGCAGTGGTGGGATTCAGCCAGTTCACACCAGTTCAGCAGAACCGGTAGCTAATTTTTTGTTGCCGAGACCCAGAATGGACTTCCAGAAGCGGCATCCACACAGAGAACCGGTTGTTCACCTATTTGAATCCCACCACTGCCTGAATGATGTATCTACCAATTATGGGCCTGTCTCATAAATGTAATTTCTGGGAGAGATGATTGAGAAGGTAGTCGTCTTGCCCTCCAGATGCTTATGAGGATTCTAATTATCTGAATCTAATTCAATCAGGCTTTTAGCCAAACAGAAGCTGCTTTGATTATGTTTGGGGAAATGCTAAGTGCCTTGGAATTCTCAAGTGTTCGTTGTTATCAGCCACAATATTCTTCTCCTTCAATTGGGGGATTGGTCTTTGGGAACACAGATTTACAATGGCTCAGTCTGATGCTAGGAGTTGACATAATGAAATAATTGCTCGACACTTAGGCTGGTGACCTGTGGTGTTCCACAGGGTTGCATCTTATCTTGCATCTTATTCATTAAGCAGCTGGAGAAGGTCATGAAGAGATTTAGAGTGTGGTGTCATCAGTATTGCTTCTTATCAGTTAACTGAAAGAGCAATCAATATGTTAAGCATTGCCTAAATCTGATAATTGGGAGGATAAGGGAGAACCTACTCAATTAAAACCAGAGAAACCAAGGTACTTTTGGTAAATAGGAAAAGAAGTCTTGGAGATGGTGAAACTCTCCCTCTGAAAAAGCAAATTCACAATATAAGAGTGCTGGCGGGCTTCTAGGCTGAATAAATTTAGTGTTGGTTCTTAAAGCCTTGGTTCCACTTTATTGGCATTACTACTACACATTCTATGTGTAATAGTAATGCCAATTTTATTTTTAAAAATGTGCAGAAACAGCAGCTTGTACAAATTGTACCAGCTAAGCTGCCAACCTGTACAAGGTACAGAACTATATACTACTGGTACTGCAAGATCAACAGTTGCTTACTGAGCACACATGTAGGGCCTATTATAGAGATTAACTTTCCCATGATGAAGCTGTTCAGCTATTGAGATTTGTACACGAAACCCTTTCGAGTATCACCCCCTCCCCAAACCGTTATTTCTCGTACCTATAATAGGACCTTTTCTTGTATTGTTCTCAGATATGGAACTGTTGGATTTTATATTTTCCTTCCAATTTCTCAGCATTTAGAACATCTGTAAAATATCCCTCTTTTGCTAAGTTCGTAATTGCTAATTGATTTTAGTATTAATTTTACTATTAATTTTACTTTATGCTTTATTCTTATTATTTAGCCACCTTGAATATTCACTAGAATAGAAAGGCAAGGCACAAATCAAAACAACAAATGAATAACATTTACTCTAGTGATAAATATTTATCCTAATTTAGTCTTCTTTTGCGGAAAGTAGTTATAATTCTTATATTTGTATATTTAGATAGTTGATTATCAAAACCTACCATAGAATACTTCTTTTCAGGAGGATGAAGAAGCATAAATAAAATACAATTATTTTCTTTGCATTTATAATAAAAATGGGTTTTCTTGATTATCAGAATTAGTTGTGGATTATAATATAATTAGTCTATATGTCTTCCCATCCACTGGCCTGGCAAAGAATCCTCATTTATTTAGACAATAGTTCTTTGAAGTCCTCATACATCAAGAATTGATTTATAAATTTATAGTATTAATTTTAGAATTTGATTCCATTTTGTAATTTGTTTTGTATCACTATTTTTATCTAGAAAAATATTATTAAGTCAAACTTATGATCCTCCTGATTTGCAATTTCTGGAACACAAAGCTAAGCAGGAAATTGTCAGAGGGATAAGGGTGTGTAAGAGAAAAACCTGAGCTAAAAAATTACACATGTTTGTGTTTACTAGTACAGGGTTACTAGCACAGGATGCATGAAATTACTAAGGAAAAAAAATCTGAATTGTAACTTGGAAGTTTTTACCTCAGGAAATGAATTCATTTTTATGGGCCTAGTACATTTCATATGGCAAAGAACAGTAGGATATGTGGTATGAGAAATTATTGAAAATCTTGAGTTGAAATCTGATGGTTGTTTATTATTCTATGTCGAATATAAGTGGTAAATTTTAAGGGGAAAATGTATAGGCATAAGTATTTACAAAATGTGTTTGATAGATTTGACACTAATGTGTCAAAGAAGCAAACTTAGCATTCCTTAGTCTTGTCAATTGCCATCTTGTTTAACACTGACTATATTGTTAAGCGATAAATATATATCATGTCAAGTGTTTTTTATATACAGACTGATGTATTGTATATTCCCAATAAATGGATTTAGATTTAGGCAAATTTATTGGATAAGCAAGTTGAAAATATAGAAGCATGTGGAAAACAATTAAAGTCTAACCCTAACAACAGAAGAAAGTCATTTTGCCAAATTATTAGACAGGTTTCAGCACTGTGATCCTTTAAAACATTTCGTTCATTTTTTAATTTAACCAGCCAAATTAACATTCTCCCTCAGAAATATGCACTGTGGTTATGTGCCCTGAAGTCATGTACAGTATTTTAAATGATAGACTAATTTTCTCTTCAGCGTTTTACCGATAGAATTTAAAAGCAAAGTTTTTGCTTTTAAGTCATACATATTACCTTAATACAAAATTATGGTACATTGTACTACTTTCATTTATGCCATACTCTTTTAATTGACAGATATTCCATTTCTAGCCAGATCATATAATTCTATAGCTAATATGCTGAAACTCCTAAATTTTGAAGAATTCAGCTTTTCCTCCCTCATATACGTTTGTCCAATTTGCTACCCTTAAATAATTGTCTCATGTACTACTTTTCATACTATAATACTATTTATATAATACTATTACATGATCCATGAGACTGAAAATAAAAAAAACCCAGATACCTGACACTGATATATTTTGTATTTTATGCAATACTAGTTACTGAACAGGCATATTTCACTTTTTATCTACAAAGCTGTGTTCCGTTTTTAAAAAAAATTTCAAAGTAAATAACTTTTTATTAATATCATGTAAGTGAATATACCAAACTATATACAGTATTCACATTCTCCATCTTAACAATGCTGTTTTCATCAAGGTAAAAAAATATGAAATAATGTTTCCTAAATATAACTAAAAAAAATCTACAAGAATATCTCTCATCTTTGACTATAAGTGACACTCTCAAGGTACAATGTATTTATATTTAACAATTATAGGTATATATTTATTGCTAATATGGGAATAGCATGAGAAAGTTTGAGAAGACTGACATCAAAACTTAAATTATTCACTAGATTTTTCAAAGTCTTCTGGTCATTTCTTTTCCTATAGTTTCTAACACAAGTGTTGGAATAATTTTTTAAATGTAGTAACATATGTGGTGTTCCAGGCTACATATGTTTAACAGGACATTTTAATATTCTCAATACCCCCAAGAACTAATCATGAATTGATGTAGAGAGTGCTAGTAATCTCTCCTCCCCTTTCTCTGCCCCCTCAAAAAATTCTTACCATAACACTGTATTCCATCGCCACTGTATCCAAAGGGGCAGGGTCCACATTTGAATGCCTGATCCTTTGTTGATTCACAGGGCACACCAGGGAAACATGGCATATGTGCACAGTTGAGTTGCTTATTAAGTGATCTCCAGTCAATTGCCAAATGGTTTACACCTGAGGCATAAGGCTTTCTGAATGAAGCAGTCCTTCCTGAAATTCTTGACTGCACAGAGCTCTCTAGTGCCTGGCTACGCTGATTTACACGAAGAGAAAATGATGTTTTCCAATGGAAAGAAGACAGTGTGGTCCATACGGACTGTCTCAAATGCTTTGCTTTAGAACCATGGTCAGAATTAGTCTGGGTAGCTGAAATCCCAAGATATTTTCCAGAAGGTGTCAGATCAGTTGAGGTATGGCTCTGTTGAATAGCATGCAGCTTTGTGCCCATGTCTTCTTGAGCGGAGGTATTCCTTGTGATATCTGCTTGAATCTGTAGTTCATAGTCTGAGAGTATTTTAGCAGCTCCTGCTTCATTTTTTTGAAGAAGGGCTCCCTGTGTGCCATTTTTCACTTTGCTGAATGGAAAGGTTTTTCCTATAGATGGTATAGGAGACAGAGGCACCACTTTTTCTTTGAGTGGAGATTGGATATCAATAGTTAAGGGATATCTTGCTATATGAAAGATTGTTTCTAATTTTGGAATATGATCTTGTGAAGATGCAGAATCAATATCTTGTAAATTCTTTATAACACCTTGGGTAAGGGAGATGTTGGCTTCCCCAGGGACTTTCACAGTTACATCAGACAAACGTTTGGCAGAACTTGACACTAAATGAAAAAAGGTGGATCAGCACAAAATATTTTATATTTTCTTGTGACATTCGATAGACAGACAAACAGACAGATGATAAATATGATAAATATTTTCTGTCGTATGTCATGACAGTCGCAAGTCAAGTTACACATGTGACCAACCGGATTATATGATTATTATTTTTTTGCAACTACCATTAAGTGAACGCAATGGTCATTAAGCAAACACCGTGATCATTGAATGAACACATTGTCAGCAAGGGGCGTTTTTTTGCAGGGAACTGGAAGTAAATGTTGATTTCTGGCAAAAAAACCCAACAACATTGTAAATGGTGATCATGTGATTGTGGGATGCTGCAAACAGCCATAAATGCAGATCGATTGCCGAGCATCAAAATAAGATCATATGATTGCAGGAGGGTGGCCTTCGAACTTTGAATTGGGGTCATAAGTACATTTTGGGGAGAATGATATAATTTCAAATGGTCAGTAAGCAAATAGTCATAAGTCAAGCACTACCTGTATAAATCCTTCCCCTTTCTGGGCTGGATATAGACCTTCATTTAGTTTTCCACAATGCCCTTAACTTTATTTCTTGCAGTGTCTTGACATACCATTGTTCTGGGTCAGAGAAGAGATTCCACCGAAGGACATTTTATTTGAGATCTCAGAATAGGAGGACCCAGTTGGCAATTCAGTTTGGACTTTTTAATATAAATTAGCACTTTAAAAAACACACACACACAAATCAGAACAGCTTAGGCGTCTGAATCATTATTGGTGAGAAATGTGTGCAATTTGCATCTGAATGAAAACTGATCTAATATCAGTTTTTTGCAGCAAAAATTCCCCAAATAAAGTTGAATTATCATTTTAAATTCCCAGTTCTCCAAATGTGCCAGGTTACAAGAACATTTGAAAAAAACAAACAAAAAGGAAAAAGGAAAAAGACCTGTTAGGGAAAACAGTTTGCAAAACAGAAAAAAGGCAAACATTTATATTCTATTTTTTGCTAAGGTGAGCACTGAAGGTGGCTCACAAAGTTTTAAAATATCATAAATAAAATATACCATAAAAACAGTACAAAATATACAAAATGCTGCTAACACTAAAATCAGCTATTAAGAGGAGATATTTCTCTTCTCGGATGTTCTAAATGGTGAGAGACTGAAGCCAAATTGCTCCACAAAAGAACGCATTATGTAGCCCAAAAACAATTCCTGCATTGAGAATAATGCAGAAGACAGTTTTCACCCATCTATAAAATAGATGCACTGACAGCATAAACACCGTCAAGAGGTAAATGTTAATGGCTGAAGAAGTTGGTAACAATAGAGACAGTTCTTCAGTCAGTTAGATTTTAATGACCAATTAGCACCTTAATAAATAAGATCTTCTATTTAATATGTTAGGGAAATTTTTTATCTCAAATAGGTTTGATAAGAATACTGCTACAGTTTTAACTTAAACCTTCAATTGTGATTATCTGCAGAGAAACCTGGTGCCACAATTAAACTTCCCTGAAGCAATCCACAAGACTCTCTTCCAACTCTGTTCTCACCCTATCTCAAAGCTTGGAGGAAAAGCCAGCTCTTCACCACCCAGAATGTCATTTCTACAAGAGACTGCTGTATTTTCCAGATAAGATATGTATCTTAAATATATTTGTCAGTTAGAAATTCTGACTATTCCTCTAAAGTTTGAAAATGTAACTTGGAAGGCCCTTTCTATCCACTCCTGATTTTGAAATTATGTTCCCAACTAAAGAACCTCACATGGCTAAGTTCCTCTTCAAAGGGACATTCAATGTATCAGCTAATTCTTTCCTACACAATACCTTCCTCAAATTAATACTGAGAACCAGTACTGCAACAAGATACTGTAAAGTCCTAATCAAAGTCAGTTGTTCTGATGATAAGTTCAGAATTGTCCTATAGTAGTAGTAGTAGTATCACCAATTGGAATCTTCTATTTCTTTCCCAATTTCCTACCCAAGTTATTGAGTTTTAAATTTTGGACTCATTTAAAATATTTATATACCACTCTATATCATATTCTCAGAGAAACCTACAGTATCATCTTCCACTGAATGCATAATTAATACATTCCCAAATGGGGTTGCATTGAACTAGTCATACAGTAGTGTAATAGGATCTTTTTCACTTTGCTTGCCAATATAAGTTTCTAAGGAGTTTTTGAATTAATGAATAAAATATCCAAATAACTGGGTGATAGAAGTATCTGTTTAAAACAGCAAGTGGCAGAAAATGGTCTCCTACTTTCTCTTCCATTTAATTTTATACTGTACTTTTGCTGGCAAGGATTATCACATTATTTAAAATGCTACATAATTTACAGAGGCTGAGAGGAAAGTGGGTTTTACAAGTAGAGATTAGAATCAAAGCAGTATTTTTTTAAAATGTCATATTTTTTTTATTAAACTGTGAAGAAGGGTTAACACTGAAAGGTCGCCCGAGATCAACAGCTTTTTCTTTTTCTTTTATTTCAAATAGTCTTCAATATCTTAAGATGTATCATCCATTATCAACGGAAGAAGCAGAAGTGGTTATCCCTGCCCCAATGTGCTACCATATAATGGAAGAAGATGGAAAATAATGGTGACAGCATAAAATGCTCAAGGTCAAAATGAAATCTGCATGCCCCCCACAAAGCAACATTATTTTGTATAGGCCTGTCAGAATAAATTAATTAATGTACTTGTATATATGAATAGATTAAAAAAAAATCAGATGCACATTGGATATATTCCTGTCTTTAACTCTTGCATAATAAGGAAGAGAAACATTTGCTTGGCATTTTCCTTCTAATATAAGAGTTTTGTGGATCTTTTGGAATGCACAAAGCTCTGTGCATTTAGGAAACAATAGAATGTAAGGGCCAGGCCAAGAACAGTTATAAAGCAGTTATACAGCATGCTTTAAAGCAGGGGTGTCGAACTGCTGGCCCACGGGCCAGATGTGTCATTCCAAAACCGCGCCCACCCCATTGCTGGCAATGGAAAAAAAGTCACGATATGTCGCGACACGTCATTTGACGTCGCGAGTTTGACACCCGTTTTAAAGAGATTCTGGCAAAGGCCAGTGACATGAAGGAAAAAAACCCTGAGGTGTGTAATTTGTACTTTTGTTCTTGAGGCTCTCTCTCTCTCCCCATCAAGGCAGCATCCTTGACTTAACAACCATTCATTTAGTGACCATTCAAAGTTACAATGGCACTGAAAAAAGTGACTTATGACCATTTTTCACACGTATGACCATTGCATCATCCCCATGGTCACGTGATCAAAATTCAGATGCTTGGCAAATGGCAACTATTTATGATGGTTGCAGTGTCCCAGTGTCACCTGATCACCTTTTGCAACTTTCTGACAAAGTCAATGGGTAAGCCAGATTCACTTAACAACCTTGTTATTAACTTAACAACTGCACTAATTCACTTAACACCTGTGACAAGGGGCAAAACTTACTTAACAACTCTCTTGCAAAGGAAATTTTGGGTCCAGTTGTGGTTTTTAAGATAAGAACTATCAGTATATTTCCCTGGTAATGAAAGGAGAAGAATTGCGGGTCAACAGTGGCTGTCATAATATCTGCTTTTGTTGCCCTCATGGCTTGGTTGGTTTATGATCTTGCACATGTAAGGAATGAGTTGTTCTACTACTTGCCCAGCAATCTTTGGTGAAGAGCCTTGTCCCTTTTGGATACCTTCTGAGCAGCTATAATAGTCAGTGAGAATTAACACACAAGACAAAAGATGCCAGCCTGCCTGTTTTATAATGTTGCTGTTAGAGGGTAGTTTCATAATATATAGCCAATAGTCCTTCAAGTCATTGTATTTAAGCATCTGTTTACTTAATTGTATGAATATCTGCTTGCCGGGAATTCAAATTGATTTTTATCAGCCTTTTCATTATTTGCTGGGACAGAAAATTGAATGATTAGATACCTGTTCTTCATCACCTCCAGATTAAATTACCATAACATTTTTTCCACAGAGCTGGAAAAGCATTCTGAATATCAGCCCATATGAAATACTGAAGCCTGATTTTGATACTTACCCTTAAATGTATAATTACTTTAGAGACAAGATATTTAAATTGCTCCCTCCTTGCCTTTAAACCTGTCAACATCAATCTTTGAAGGACACCTTACTCTGTGTTCTACCACTGTCTGAAGTGTCAGCCCTGTCTGGGGATCTTTGATACAGTTTTCATTGTTATGATTGCTGGAATTTTACTAGAATTTTAGTTCATACATTTTTTTCATGTTAATTGCAGCTTTTTAAAAAATATTTTATTGGGTTATGGTTCCATGATAATTTTTAATATTTTTATTTAAATCAATAATTTAAATAATTAAATTGCATTGAGCCAGTTTGATGTAGTGGTTCAGGGTGCTGACCTAGAAACCAGAAGATGGTGAGTTCTAGTCCCAGTTTAGGCATGAAAACTGGCTGAATGATTTTGGACCAGTCACTCTTTTTCAGTTATACCCATCTCAAAGGGTTGCTGTTGTTGGGAAAACAGGTGGAAGAAGTATTAGGTATGTTGAATTACTTATAAAGTAATAAAGGCACGATAATAATCTAATAATTTTTTTTTTCAAAAAATTACATTTGATCAGTTTTATATTGTATGAAAATATAACATTGTTTTGTGATTGTTGGGTATATGTTTTGTATGTATGTATGTATGTATGTATGTATATATGTATGTGTATATATATATATATATATATATATATATATATATATATATATATATAAAACAATTCATATATAGAGAGTTTATATTAATGTTTCCTAATGCATGTTATTAATATACATTCCTTATAGATGTTTAATGTAATTTTCCTTGATGTTCTCTTTTTTTCCTATCTATGTGCATAACCCTCAAACTATTTTCTTATGGATAAGCAGCACAATACAAGGTGCACAAAACAATTAAGAAGTAATTAGCAAAAGAAATACAAGAAAAAGATCTTAGTTTATATTAA